CGTCTATTTTGTTTTTTAAGTAATCAGATATTTCGAGAATTGCTTGCTCCGTTGAGTGACCTTTACGAAAGCCAAATTGGTGACTAAAGAGCAAAGAATGTTTTTCAAGAAATGATTCTAACTGTTTGTGGACTAATTTTTCCAGTACTTTTGCAAAGGGAGAGAGTATAGAGATAGGACGGTAGTTTGTGGGATCAGTAGTTACTCCGCTTTTATAGATTGGTGTAACTCTTGCGATTTTTAATATGTCAGGTACAATGCCCTCTGAGATAGATTCATTGTATAAGTTTGTGATAATTGGGGCAATGATAAAAGCGCCGATTTTTATCATTTGATTAGGTATATGGATAGAGGCTTTATTAGGGTCAAGAGAAGAGAGTAGGTCATAAACTTGTGTTTCAATAACGTAAGACATTGCAAAACTAGATTCCGGGGGAGTATTAATATATTCTAGTGGATTTCTGTTTGCAGTATTGGGGATTGAGTTAGCTAGCGCCGGGCCAGCATTGATAAAATGCTCATTAAATTGGTTTGCTATGTCACTCTTTTTGCTATAAGTCATACTATTTCTGATTATTTTTGTAGGATATGATTGACCTTTTGTTTTCCGCTTAATTAACGTTCCTATAAGTTTCCACGTTTTCTTTAAGTTGCTTTTGTTCTTTTCAAATTGACCGGTATAATAGTTAACTTTGCTGATAGATTTTAGTTTATTTAGTTTATTAGCATATGTCTTAAATTTTTGGATTTTGTCTGGAATTTTGCTCAAAAAATGGGTATTATACATCTTTTGCTTTGTTTTGATGGATTTAAGAATGCCAACAGTTAACCAAGGCTTGGAGAATTGTTTGTGTTTACTGCGCGGTAGTTGTTTAATGGGTGCGTGAGTGTCAGCTATTTGGTTAATAGTTTCAACTACTTCAGTTGTACGCGTATTTAGATTATCATTATTTTCCAAAATGGAATTCCAATCAGTTGAATTCAGGTCATTTAAAAATAACTCCTTGTTGAAGTGTGTGTAGTCTCTGTAGAATTGTTTTTCGTGATTCTTTTTAATAGGTGTGTTGTAAAGACAAAAGACAGGTAAGTGGTCTGAGATATTATATAAGGCAATCCCAGAGGATACCTGCGAAGTCGGGGCATTAGTGTAAATGTGGTCAATTAGGGTTTCAGAGTGATCGGTTAATCGAGTCGGCTTAATGATGATTGGTGTCATATTATTTGAGAAAAGCATGTCTAAGTATTTTTCGGATGGATTGTGTGTTGCATATTTATAGAGGTCTACGTTAATATCACCCAAAATAAAGACGTCATATTTGCTTTGATTGAGAAAGCGAAGTGTCTCCTCTAGTCTGTTGGTAAATAATTCAAGATTTGATTTGGGATGCCGATAGATACAGCCAATAATAATCGATTTCCTCTGTTTAATGCCAGTATCCACCTCAATCCAGCAGGACTCAACTAAGTCTAATTTAAGTTTTAAGTCGGGCCTTTCGGTTACTTTATAGCATTTAGATACGTAGATTCCAGCACCACCGGCCGCAGTTTTTGAATCAGTATGATAAAAGTTATAATTGTATATTTCAACATTCTCAGCAGAATGTTGATTAAGTCTAGTTTCGGTTACGGCTAAAATATCGGGTGTTTTGGTTAGTGAGAGTAATAACTCATTTACTAGGTTCATATTTTTCGGCAAGCTTCTTATATTACAATGAAAAAAAGTGAAGGCTTTGTTATTGTTTTGTTGGTCTAACAAAGAATTTAAGTCAGGCGCAGCATAATACTGAGAGACGACATTATTTAGCATAATGTCAGGGTCATTTTCGTCAAATTTATCTGGGTTTGGCAAAATATCATATAAATCAGATTCGATATCGGTTCTAGTAAAGTTTGAAATATGTTCCCGAGCATTATACATAGCAAGTTTTACTTTTTAAATCTAGTTTAAGTTCGATAATAAATTGATCTAATTAATTAATGTTTAGCCAAGGAACTCCTCAAATTGTTCGTTTGTTGAGAAGTTATACACTGTAGAGTTTTCAGATTGGCGTAAACAGATCTTACCGTTGACGGTCCAGATATATTTCCACTTGTTTGTTCTTTTGAACTCGTTAATTCGCCCAAAGAGTCTTTTCCTGTATTTAGTTAATGATTCGTTGATAAAGATCTTGGAGTCTCCGATGGTGTTTGTCTCGCTGATCAAAGGAATATCTTTCGCTAATTTGCCGAAAAGCTTGCCTCGGCTGTTATAGAATTTTTCTCGCATGTCACGACGGGCGAATTTCACAATGATTCTATCTTTGCTTCTCTTGGTCGGTGGTAGTCTATGTGCTGTGGAAATGTCGTGTTCTTGAATATCCTCAATCCCCAGAAGTACTCCTACTTCGATGGCAATTCGCTTCGGGTCGTCTTGTGTTGGGGCAGGAATGCCATTTATTTCAATGCAGTCCCTTCTAGAGTATTGTTGCAGGTTGTCCAAAGCCGTTTGAAGACTGTATATGTCATCTTCTCTGCTTCTTAATCTATCGTCGAGTTCTTTGATCGATTTGTTAGCGTCGGCAACCTGTTTCTTCGTCGTTTGAGTAGCCTTCTTGAGGCTTTCATATTCACTTGATAGCCACTGTTGTGAGCTTTCGATTTCATCAATTTTTGACTACAGTTTCTTCATTTCAGCACGTAGAATAGCGAAATCAAATTTAAATTCTGCTCTTATACTAGGTAGCAGTTTAGATTCCCAGAGTTTCGTGAAAGAATCAACAGTTAAGTTGCTCGAATTAGACATTATTTTGGCAGCGGCACAAAAACACGTCCGTACTCTCTCATCCTCTCATTATGAGCGTCTTTAGATGAACATGCTTGCCAAAACAAATCACCCAGACTGAGTTGTATAATTTCCAATAAAATAAATTGACATACTTTTGCAGACAGTTTTGAAATGTAACTTACAAAAGAATCACAGAGATCTTTTAATCCATTGAGCCGCAATGCGCCCCAGTACGCCCTACTTATTTTTTTGCTTGCTTAACACCAGATGCTTTTACTCCTCAGTAGCGAAGCTCTGCAGCTTAATGGGTTAACCAAAAAATCTGACAATGTCTCTACTGTAGTTAACCCATTGAGCCGCAATGTGCCCTAGTGCGACCTACTTATTTTATTTACTTGTCTCCCGCCAGCAGTGGTGTAACTTTACTTTTTTGACCACTTGCCCTAAGGGCAAGTTGGTCATAAAGATTAGTTGCTCTGAATAAAATTCACTTGCCATCAGACAATGGCCACTTGGGGTACCTAGGTATGGGGTATAAATTAAGGGGACAACATGTCAACCTGTTCTCCCACTGCGCTATATGGCTATGTTATACTGCCTCAGATATAGCTTTGGTGCACAAAAAATGAAATTTGAACCAAGTCCATGCACTATAAAACAAAATATATCTGACAATGAATAGTGGCAAGGCAACTTGCCCAATCGGGCAGCAACATAAAGTGTTTACTTACCCATCATGATATTCACTTGCCCCAGGCAAGTGTTAAGTTACACCTCTGGCCAAATGATTTTACTCGTCAATGGGGAAACTCCAACTCTACAGCTTAATGGGTTAATATTCAAATTGATTGGGAAATGTCATTTAGAAGATTACATTATGCCTAAACAAAGCATTAATACTGTGCCAAATCCTGGGTCATTGTATATAGTTTATATGGAAAATCGTAGTTTTGCATTAGCAACATTTTGGGTCAATTGAGCCAACTAGGTGTCACCACAACAGCATGTGCCAATTACTGTTGGCTCTTTTACATCACCCACCCTATCAACTATCCCTGTAGGAGGAAACCAGAGTACCTGGAGGAAACCCATGACTTTCGACAGAGTGTTGACTTTTACTCTTCACATGAGGACTGGGTTTGAGTCGCATTGAGAAAGTTCTCACTGAGGCTTGAACCTGCAGCCTTAGAGGTGAACGGCAAGTGCATATAACAGCTTTGCCAACGAAGCCCCCATCTTCTAAAAAAGATCAGCTCAGTTCTATATTATAAAGTAAAACACAAGTTGAAATATAAACAATATAATAACAAAGTCTGGATCTCACCAAAACTGGGCCAGCTCAGGTACACAGGTGCCATTACCTCATATAAACAGCCACTAAATCTACCTCGCTGGATTATATAAAATGATATTTTCCAATCAGGAATATTGGAAAAAACAGTTGTTATGCACCAGTATTTTAAACAGTCTTTTACCAGTGAGAATAGTTGTATTGGATGCAGATGTTACTTCAATTGCATGCTAGTCTTACATTAAACATGTCAAGTGAAAGCATTTGAATTTTGTATTTCTTGCTTTGTACACTAACCAAAAATAGGAAATTCATTGTCAATTATTCAATAATTTGCTACCATTATATATCAACCTCAATATGTATTTTTTTCTTAATAGAGATTGTATTTAATATGGATTCATTATATATCCTGATGCTGAATGAAAAGTTATTAATAAAAGCTTCCCAGGAGAAGGCAAGTTGTCTGAACAAGTGGCAGTATATATAATCATTAATGGCATTTTAAGTACTGCATAGTCTATTTGGAAAATGTTATTCTTTTGCTGGAGAGTATGTTTATGGATTAACAAACCACACAGGGAATGGAGTTGCTGACTTGTGGTATGAAGCTTGTACTTTTAAATTTTAACTAATGGACTCGTATGACATGCTTGATTGAGCAGTGACTCTACATGCAGTACCGGTATATTATACTAACTTGTGAATATTCTACATTGAAGAGAATGTTAACCTTTTATGTGGCAATGCGCTCTACCTTATTATTTTTTCTGTCTAATGCCAGACAATTTTACTCATGAAGGAGAGAGTGCTGCCACTCAATGGGTTAAAGCCAAATTTTTGTAGATGGAAATTTTGAACAATAACTATGTAATAAAAATAAGTTCTTTGAATGTTTGCATGGCGATAAAATATAATGCACTGACGAAGATCCGGGCTTACGGATCGAAAGCTTTGCAGTAATAAATTTACGTGGTGTTTCCACAAACAAAAACAATTAACTATGTAATAAGTACTGTGCCGGGAATGGAACCTGTTGCCCTGTGATTCTGAACAGTTCCTGAACAGCTGAGAGTCCATCAAGCCCTGAGAGTCCAAGCGCCAAGAATCCATCAAGCTAACCAAGAGTTCATTTATACAATACTATAGTGTCATCCCAGTTTATTTAATATACTACAATGCAGTAACACCACCATCATGGTATGATTATACAGAAAGTTATGGTTACATCTTGGCAAAAGGACTCTTTAAGTCAGAGGGCTGCAGTAGAATTGCAGGGCTGCAGGTTCAATTCATGCTGGCAGGCTTTTAATTGTATTAAAACTGTCTGTACCAGTACCAGTGTGGGTGGTACCAATGTGAAATTGCTATGCTGAGTGGTTATATTACTACCTGAAAACAAACAAACAAACAGAAACTCAATGTTTTGAGCAAAGACCCTTCACTCGAAATGTTGAGTTTCTGCTTGTTTTTTTTTTCAGGTAGCAATATAACCACTCAACACAGCAATTGTAATTGTATTCCTTTGCAATTGCTCTCACAAAGTTCTAAGGTACCGATAGCTCTAGTTTATTTAATTGTCTTATTATATTGTATTGATATATTTTTTATCAAATTCCATGTATACATGTTCAGTGATGTAAGACTCACAAATTTTCTTCATTTTAATGCAGTGTATAGGTTGTGACATTAAATTGGTCGAAATGACAAAAAAAATTGGTCGAAATGATCCAAAAAAATTGGTCACCTGTATGCATCTGAGAGAACCAATTAAAAATGGTTGTTTTAACCAATAAAATAAACCATAATATTAGATGCATCCAGGTGACCAATTTTTTTTTGTCATTTCGACCAATCAGTTTTTACAGTGTATATCAATGACTGCACAACCCAATACTTTCATACACCTTATTACAATACACCTAATCGCTGCACTGAATAATGCGGTTATATTAATTATACTATAGTAGAAAATATATTTTAAAATACAATTTTGATCAGACTTTACTTATTTATAGGTAATCTATTTTAGAATAATTATTCATTATATTTTTAAAAATCAAAATTGTTGTAAAGATAAAATAGTCTAGCCTTATTATGTAATTACGTATAAGCGTAACATGCACTTGATGTAAGCGCATTTGATTATATATATACACTGTAAATTTCAGGGAGTTAATTTAACTCCAGTGGTATTATTCTGAATCTAATTTTACTCCAAATTTGGAGTTAATTGAGGTACAGTATCACTCCACCGGAGTTAAGTTAACTCCCTGAAATTAACAGTGTATATATATATATATATATATATATATATATATATATATATATATATATATATATATATGTATATATATATATATATATGTATATGTATATATATATATGTATATGCATGTAAATTTCCGCTATGGAAATGCTAATTAATCGTAATTAATCTAATTAATCGTATTCAATTCATGTGAATATTCGTAGATAATAATGACCTGATATAGTTACTGCTTTCCAGGCGGTTTCTTTGAAGGATGAGGTCTTCTTTCTAATTTATGTGCAAAACTTTCCCGACATATTGGACAACGTGTTCTACAATGTTAAGATAAATAATGCTTCACGAATTGAAACACTTGCATGAATATATATTCATGTCATGTTTTATATGCACGCAATAAACTCCGATAATGATAATTATGATAAATTTAAAAGACATATGGCTTCTGATTGGCTGTGGAATCATCATATCTATCGACGGCAATAGAGTGGCGTCATAACCTTGAATATGACAAAATCATATTCAAAGTTATGATGTCATGCTGTGGAAAAACGAATACGAAATGTGGAAACCGTGAAGATTTATATAGAAGAAATTTCAACAAAAACAGCCACAAAATGTTTGAAACATCTTAACATTCTTATAAAAGAAAATAAAAATATTTCCTACGGAAATATGGTTTTTTATGTCAAGCCTGAATTATAGTGATAAGATAAAAGTAGGAAATAGTTAGATTGGATTGTGGCAGATTAAGGTGGGACTTGGCGGAGAAGGAAATTCCGGTGCTTTTACCTACGTAAGAAACATTAAGTCAAGGCCAAATTTTAGCTACTAAAAGCAAAGCAAAGTTATTCACTTCTCAATTCAACCTTTCTCGTGATCGAGTGAAGACATACGAATTTTCTTCCCACCTCCTCCCGCTGGCCTGCCGCTTTGTATTTTAGTTTGTTGTCTTTTCTTGTACATATCATTATTATACCTTTTTTGCCTAATTGGCGTGTAGTCCTGCCACCTTTACTGGCAATGAACATTAACAGACTCAAGTTATTAACTGAAATTATCAATTTTAATGATTTTATGATATTTCTAATTAAATGACGAGATTTTAAATAAAGCGGCTGTGAATCAATTTCACAGCCAAATTATCCCAAGTCGGGTGTTTTGTTTTGCCAGTAAACTGAGCTCGTTAAACGCAACACCTCGTGAAAAGCAGGAAGGCAAAGACATAAAATGGAAATAATTTCTGCAAATGGGAATTCAAACGAACTGGTCATTGATTTGACGAATTGAACTCAAAGGAGCGGATGCATGTCTTTTTCATCTTTTAAATAAATAATAAAAGTATAAAACAATCACCGAATTCGGTTTCGCAAGATATGAAGAGTTATTTGTCAACCGCTCAGTTGGTGTTATCAACCTCAGCCTTCGGCTTTGGTTGATAACACAAACTTAATTCGGGCTTGACAATTCTTCATATCATTCTCAACCACATTCAAACAATGTTAAAAATCCATCCATAATACTCACATGCCACTTCTAATCATTTGCGTTACGCACTCCTTGTGCACCTTGTGAGAACAAGGTAAGATTTGACATCCTGTGAATGCATCCTAGAATAGAAATACAAGTGTAAGAGTTAGTCTAAAACTTTAGTATAACTTTGGACGTGCAGCATTGACCGTGACATAGAATATGAAGCTCCGCGTTTCGATTTTATGATGGTCGAAAGAAATAAATCACTTCCCGACATTTCGAGGAAATGTCCTGTACGCCTTATAGTTAGATCAAATAGATCATAAACCAGCAGACAATTTTAAGAAATATATAATAAGAAAAAACTCAGAATGATAATGCCATCTTGTAAACTCGATATATTATATGAGTCCATTAAAGAAAACAAGACACAAATATGGTGGTGATATTTCGAGTCTATTTCAGGGTCGTTGTCAAACCAATAATTTTAATAATAATCATGGACAATGTCAAACTCACTGACTTGAAAATGATTAATCATGAGTTCGGTTTGACATTATAAATTAGGTCAATACTGTAAAATTACTGATATCGATTTAGAAAGTGAATACGAAGCGGCGAAGAAAAATGAAAATTTTACAAACGAATTTCAACTCTAGCGTTTGTCATTGTGCCCAAACTTGAACTTACATAACTTGGCAGTGGAAATCATGTTTGAGCTCAAACCGATTACACTACCTCTAAACAAATGCAACATTCATCATGTGCAGAGCCAGCGCGACATTTGTGATTTCCACGAAGTTGGATGTCCAAACACACACCACATACATCGCAATGAAATGAACGATCTCCGTGAATCCTAGAATAAAAATTTTGAACACACGCCAGTTAGAGAAATCAAAGCGAACCAGTACTTCATTTTTTTAAAATGATGGAATTGTGATATGTTGTCATTCAGCATGCGGGGTATTCAATAGTTGTATCAACAGTTGTATCATCTATCTCACCTGCAAATACCGCACTTTTCACAATGGTAAGGATTATCATCAGTGCCTGTCAGGTGCTTACATTGACCACAAAAATATCCGGCAAATTTCGCGTTACATCTTGAACAATGATGTGCAAACTAAAATGACGAATTGAAAGAACACGAAAGTCAAACCATTTACTGATGTCCATGTAATGGTAACTCTTTCTCCTCAGTTATATAAAGACCTTGAGTATAGAGGTCCCACCAAGGGTTGCATCCGAGTCTCCATATATGTACGTGATGTGCTGGTATGGGAAGGTCCAATAATAGGAAGGTTTCACAAATAGAGACTCGTAAAAATCTTAATCCTGTTGCTCTCCGCCAACAGTAAAGTTTATATTTACTATCGAATCAAAATATCCCAGGGGAATTCACCACAAACTGCTAAATATATCATGAACAATAGTAAAATCTAATGAGCACTATCCTAAGATAAATTAAATGTTTTTTTTTGTTAAAGTGCATATGACATTAATACCATTTTTTCACCAAAAATCAGCAAAAATTAGACCATTCGAATGATATATATCATTCCTTGATCGGATAAATACTTTCAGAGATAATTTAGATCGAACATTAAAGAAAATAGGGGTTTTCAAGACATGGCCGGGAGAAAAGAGGCTGAGTACGAATCAGGTTTGTGATGTCACACCGGGGACGGAACTGAATCGACTCGTGTTGCATTACAATAAATATCTATTGTGTGCAATGAAAATTAGTATACTTTGCGCTTCGAAATGCCTGTTAGATATGTTGAATACGATTGTTCTAACACAGCAGATGCTACAAATCAAATAGCTCTACATCCACTTCCATATTATGGGGATTTTCGGCTGCAGTCATTAGGGAGAAGGAAACATTGGATAGATTTGGATAAATTGAAGCGAGCCAGATCGGAGCCGTTTCGTCAATTGTCAAATGCATGTTTGCACAAAGACATGCACTTCAAGGCGGATGACTTTTTGTACACTCTGAATATGTCGGGGCTAGAAGAACGCACATTTCCTCGACTAATGAGGGATGAAATTGGGATTAGCGTTTATCCGACGGTATAAACTGTGGTCGAAAGGCAGGAGGACATATAATAATGCTATTAAAACTGCGAGGGTGATTTTACATACACGCAAGGTGAGACAATGTCTTATATTGCCTTTAATATACTTGGTTTTATATTTGTTGAGAATGATAGTATTGGATATTAAAAATAAAAGGAACTTTATTAAATACATAAGTCTTGTGGTTGTTCAGCGTCGCTCCTGACGAAGGGCCTTTGCTCGAAACGTCGAGAAGATATTTTGATGTTTTATAGGCTTGCGTGTACCTCCACTACAAAGATTCTATTGAATACAATTGTATAATACTACATTAAAATTAGATTAAAAGGCGAATTAGACGCAAGGTTAGACAATGTCTTTTATATTGCATGATATACACTCTGCTAATATCTGCAATACTATGTTTCCGAGGCTCCAGGACATTGGTAACGTTGAAATATCGAATGCAGAAGGGCAGTTGGCAGTATTGATTATAGATGCACTCAAGTATGAACATTGAATATTTTAAAGTGTCCCTGTCACAAAATGAGAGTTTATATTTTCGAAATCTATGATACAAAATATACGGAAATTCGAAAACGGAATTGAAATTGCTTTTTTAGTGTAAAAGTTATTGCCGTTAAACATTGAATTTGGCTTTGTGAAAAATCTGAAAACCGCGCAAAAGGGACTGGAACGAAACAATGCGTGTGACGTAATAGTAGGAACTTATGTAGCTCACTAATATAGAAATACTATTGCATGATGTACTATCATAGAGGAGGCAATAGCGCAAATAAAAGTCACGAAACTGAAAAATTGCCGAATATATGTGTAGTAGGCGGTTGTTCTAATGTCACAGATACAGAGTAAGGCATTTCACTTCATTTTATACCTTTTACTGGAGGCGAGATGCACGAAGCGAAAAGGACACAGATTGACTTCGTGCACCTTAAACCAGCAATATGAGATCCAATGTTCAGCATATTTTGCGAAGATGTGGCTTGCTGGTAAAACCACGATTAGCTACCGACGAAATTGGTTTCGTTGCAATTCCAAAATATACAAATACTGTCGACGACAAACCTTTGTCTGCGAGAGCCAAGAGAATGGTATATGTATAATTTATACTCTAATTTCGTTTATCATGCACTTGAATATGGCCTAGTGCAATTTTTATTTCAAATTCGTTATTTGAATAGGTTGTATTTAGAAGCTGCTTCGATGCAGTCAACCGATATGGTCATAGTCACGAAACTGGAAAGCGCGATAAATATAAATGAGCCACAGCCAATGGATTCACCAGAAATATAAAATATCGCGACAATATAGCTGACTATGAGTGAATATGGTCAAAATTTAGCTGATGAAAGCCAATTTCTTACGTCTACAAGCAATGTGCACTGTTTGTATTTTAGTTTAGACAGGGAAAGTAGAATTGTACGTATAAGTAAACTTGACGCAGTAAATTATACATATATACACTCGTGTTTGCACCGCAGTGAAAACCCGTACAATATGCAGATTTTGTAACAAATTGTGGCATAAAACCAGATACACTGCGGGGGTATATATAAAATGTATTACAAAGTATAATCCATTGAAGCAACTTAATGAAATAACTTAGTCATTGCCACATTTGCTATAGTATAAGGCAGTGCCTGGAACGAAATACAAGTCAGAAAAATTCCTAAACGTGCCGCAACACTTTGTACAAATTAACCCGCGCGCACGAAGTGCAGAAAAACATCAGATACAAATCTTAATCTCAAATTTCAGTCTCTTTGGCAAAACAATATTGAAGTCATGAATATAGCAAATGTGCTGTTTCTATACGCAATACAGTATAATTTTACCACATTTATACAGTGTAATAGGTTTATTTATTGAAAAATAGTTATATAATATCAAGAGCTGTTCTCTACAAATCCTACAAAGTCTTCATCAACAGCAGGCATTATTTTCTCATATGCGCAAAAATGTCTATTTCCTAGTTGTCCATAAACCATCCACACATAGTTTCTATATGCTATGCTCCTTCAGAATCTATATAAATTAATAAATAAGTATTTTTAATAAGTCGCTTACTTGCTAAATATATAATAATTCAATAATTGTACAGTATGTTTCGCATATAAACTCTCAGTTACCATACCGCATGCGTGTATTCACTGATAGTAAACTCGGGTACGGTAAAGTGTTTCTTAATTTCAATATGTTGATAAATAAAACTTTATTTACCTATCTTCTGTGCTTGTTTGACGGTATTCCTGTTTCTTTCTTGCTCGTAATTTCGTGGCTGCTGAACGGAGAGCTCACGTATCTAGCCATAGCTGTTGAATTATACATGATGGCGCGACTTCAGCTTCTTGCATCACAATGTCATTGTGTAGAGAATCGACGCACTCCTCAATTTCCATACAACATTGACACTCTTTAGCATAATTTACGAAGCAGTTCAATGCGACAATTGCCACGTTTACACATGAAATATTATAGTTTGTAATTTACAACACAAGGTCAAGTCACGCAACAAAATCAGAGTGAAATATTTACCATTTACTCAATTCTTCTGAACTATCTAGCCTTTGTTGTAATTGCTTAAGACGTTCGTTGTGATTGCTTTTTTTCGCGGTAACGTTTGAGCCATCTTCGTCGATCACTGCATGGTTCATTAACATATGGATCAAGCAGCGCCGATCATTTGTGCGCACGACGTTGACCACGCTTCAC